CGACTGAGCCACCCAGGCGCCCCTCATCGAGGCCATTCTTAAGTGAAACGGACTCTTCTTTGGAACTTCGGGCGTGTGGCAATGCGAAATGCGGTGACTGCTGCCGTCTGGCGCCACTGCCTGAGTTTATGCTACGGCACCAGCACCTTTCCCGCCACCGTTTTCACTCGGCAACATTAAATGTAGGCACAGTGAAAAGGCAAATAGCATCTTACCATTACTATGAGAAGTGGCTTTGACCTTGGGGACTCCCTGAGAGGATCTCAGGCCCCCCTCCCAGGAGTCCTCACACCATACTTTTGAGAACCGCTGGATTCAATAATCACAGTACATATATACGCCTGCATTATTATGGAGTTACTAAAATGAATTAAATTATTCAAAAACATCTGAATGTTTATAATATACCCATCTATGCATCAGAAATCAAGATAGTGGTTACCCTGGGGAGGGGACAGGAAGGATCGGGAAGGGAATGTCTAGGGTACTGGTGATATTTCTTGGTCTGGGTATAGGCGAGAGAACACGCACACCCTTAACATTATGTTGTACACCAATGGACATTTAAAAAATCTGTACTTTTCTGGCAAGAGTCAATATGTGGAAAGTGCTGCTATTATGCTGAGATGGGGAAGACTCAGAAAAGAGTAAGTGTGAGACTGGGGGCAGGAAGGACAGTAAGTGTTTCGGATATGCCCAAGTAGAGGGGAAAACTAACAGGAAACAGAGAGAGAAGAAATAGTCCTACAAGGGGAGAAAGGAAAGAAGCCTGAGCAGTAGTACCACTTACTAAAAAGTCAAAAACCTAACATTTCACGTTACGGCTCCAAATGTCTCCTTCTACGTTTTCCAAACTCAAACCGCTTTTAATATTTTTATTAGTTCCTCAAATGGCATATCAGCCTTAATTGAATTTCTAGTAATTATTATTTTCAGATTCAGTATTTATCTGAAGAAACTATTTCAAGTATTTCTGAGCCCTTTTAAACTTTTTTTTAAAAACCTTTGTGTTTCTAAGCTATTAAATGACCCAAAGGACAGTGTGTACTTTGATTTGCTTGTTCTGACTCCTTCCTCACCGATTCCGTATTGACAGTGAATGTATATGAGATTTTCGTTACTATTTTCGTACTTTCTTAAGTAAAGACTAAGGTACCCTTATCACTCAGCTTTTAACAAACTAAACATTCCTTAAAATGGTTACTAGGAAGGAAAAATAAAGTGTCATCTAAAACACTGCACAGCTTTGGCAGTTATCAACCCATTCAGTATCAGCTGCTATAAACTTTATAGCTAATGATACTAGTTTTGGAAAACTGATAGATTTGATGAGTTGGTTATGAAGCAAAATAGCCTTTGGTCATTCGGCCAATTGTCTTGCTCCCATAACAGGAGATAAAGCAGCAAGTGCAGATACAGAAACAAGTTAGGCTATTTAGTGGGGAGAAGATAAGGGACTCTTGTCTCTGCTTCTACTTCTTAGCTAAGTTTGAAACAAGTTCCTGTGCTATGAGTGAGGGCTGAGATGGGCTGTGGGATATTTGGGGAGAAAGAAGGTGCGTAGCTATCTTACTGGAGTAGGACAAGGAATATCCTGCAACATGTTGGGCTGGTGGTTAAGTGTTGGTCTGAGATGTGAGGTCATGAATGTAAAGGGAGACCTATCCACCCAGTGGTGCATTAACACTAGTAACAAACATAAGGTTGCCTGGGTAGAGGCATGGTCAAGCAAATGGTTTAACCAGAGTCACAGCTTTGCCAGGTGGTTACAATAAATAGGAGGCTAACAGAGTTAAAGGTGTTTATAAAGTAACAATGGACCATTAACTAGAAGCTGGAGCAATGGATAGTCAAAGTGGCAAGGTTCACAAACTGAAAGTCCCAATGGGACCAAAAAATTGCTGGTATGGAGTATTAGAGCAAGTCAGCTGTAAGATCAGAGTGGGATGCTTGAGGTAGAGACCTTTAAAGATAACCCGTAACAAGGTAAAGGGTATGACCACAAGAGTAGACAGCATGGTTGTGGGAAGGGATGGCTAAGGTGGATTGGAGGAAAAGATCATTAAGAAACAAGGTGTCAAGGAACTGAGAGGGCCAAGGACTTGGACAGATTACACATACGGAAGCTAGAGTCATCAAGAAGGCAGTCCTGAGTGAGTGGACAGGAAGACTGTGACCCAGGTTAAAGCCACCAATGAATAACAGAGAATGACCAAGAGATCAGGAAATGTCAGAAGGGGTCAGTATACTGTCAAGTCTGATGGCATAACCCAGAGGGAAGAGAAATGGCTTGAAAGCTGTGAGGAAAAAGGACACCTACCCCACCCAAAGCGCATAAGGCGTGAAAGAGAAACAGAGCACCTACTTGGGAGGCCCACAGGCAAAGGAGCATGTTAGGAAACAGCCAGATTTCAATTTCAATTAGGGAAAGGATGCGGACAGAACTTTTTTCACAGAGGGATTAAAAACACAGCGTATGTGCTACCTTCTGGGCACGGTTCCAGAGGATACCACGTAAGGGCTAAAGAATGACAATTTCCAATTAAGGAGCTCTGAAATTTGTGCTGGGAAAGGCTCTCAACTCATAAAAATCTGGAAACAACTTCAAGCTTAATTTCTGGTCACTGATTTTTATAAGCATCGTGCATAACGTGTCCCCCAAACGGTTTTATGACAAAAGTTCACATACAAGCGCTTACCTCTATTTCTGTAATTTTTTCGGAAGGATTATCAATTAGGAAACGTGCTAAAGTCCCAGGAGTAGTTCTGTAGGTTAGAATGATTGAGTTTTTAGGGTCCTGACACCACTGAATAAAGAGATCCCTTGAAAATCCACATTCCAGGTCGGGCTGGCTGGCAAGCACCACTTTAGGGCTCGGTACCCGGGCCAGGTCAGAAAGACCGTGGCACAGAGAGAGGTGGCGGAACTGAAATGGATTATTTCTTTTGTCTTCAAAACATCTCATCAATTTGTCACTCATCCATTCTACCTGGTATGGGGGGAAAGGATGACAAGAAGTAGAGAATACTAGACTGTAACTTCAATGTCTTCTACAAAGCCGAAGAGTTCACGTTCTGCCTTTTTTTAAGTCTTTCCCACCAGTGGTTGCTTAAACTTGAACCGTTTTGATGAGCAGCTTATTTTCTGCTCTGTCCCCCACGACGACATCCTCCCACCCCACAGTTCATCCCTAAAAATCCAATTCTGCATTATATCTCAGTTACACGTCACCTTAAATCTTTCTGAGAAAGCAGAGTACAAGTTCTAAATAAATCTCTTACCCAAAATTTCTAGTTCAAGGGAAAGAGTTCATTCAGAAAGAAGGGAAAAATGGATTCTACCATTTATATCCTAGGAGGTATGTGTCCCCATTTTACAGAATGTGATACCACGCATTAGAGGAGAAACAACTTACCCAATCTGTAAGATGGGGACAAAAACAGAAAGTACTTCACAGGGTACGTGAGGATTACATGAAATATTCCACATGAACACACAGTACAAGTGGTTCTTTTTTTAGCTTTTAGTACCATTATCACCACCATCATCATCAACCTCTTTCACAGAAAAATAAAATCCAAAGGACAACTAAAACATTGCTTTCCATAAGCCCAATTTCTGTAGCAACCTTCTTTATTACGAAGGACAATATGGAAACAAACCTGGGACTTAGAAAACTCCACCACATTGTAGCTGACATTATTCAGGAGTGCCAGTGAGTAGACACCTAGCCCTGCATCTTTAGTTCTCCAGATCTGATCAAGGAGTTGAGCAAGTTCCAAAACTCTGCCTGCAGTGTCCACTGCTATTAACACATTTCCATCACCTCGAAGCGTTTCCAGGACATTTGCTAGGAAACAAGAATATACATTCTGTATCAAGCATAACAATACCTTGCTACAAAATTGAAGAGGACTTCATCTCCACGTTTTTAGTATAAAGACTGTAATTTATAAATGAGCACTCAGGCCAAGTGCAAAATTAAAATTCCATTCACGTTATTACAACTACTTTTTTGTACATCCTGTGAATGTATCCTCATAGGAGTGAAGGACATTGCCATTAACTCTACTTTTTTTCACTGAAAAAACTGTAAATCAGTGGTCCCCAACCCTCTCCACCGAGAGTACACATGAACAATGACATTCAAGGGGTGCCTGAGCGGCTCAGTCAGTTAACAGTCAGACTTTGGGGGCGCATGGGTGGCTCAGTTGGTTAAGCATATGACTTAGGTCATGATCTCGCCGTCCGTGAGTTCAAGCCCTGCATTGGGCTCTGTGCTGACAGCTCAGAGCCTGGAACCTGTTTCAAATTCTGTGTCTCCCTCTCTCTCTGACCCTCCCCCCATTCATGCTCTGTCTCTCTCTGTCTCAAAACTAAATAAACGTTTAAAAAAAAAAATTAAAAAAAAAAAAAAAGAGTCAGACTTTGCCTCAGGTCATGATCTCACAGTTCGTGAGTTCGAGCCCCATGTCAGGCTCTGCACTGGTGGTACAGATCCGGCTTGGGATTCTCTCTCTCTGCCTCTCCCCTGCTTGTGTGCTCTCTCTCTCTCTCTCTCAAAATAAATAAACTTAAAAAATTTTTTTTAAAAAGAAAGAAAATGACATTCGTACACTACACCAGGGTCAATTATTTATAACTTTGTTATAAATGATTCCCAAATGTATACACACACATGCACACATTTATACTTTATGTTTAGACTTTAATCTAGAGCATGGAAATCCACTTTGAGATATTTGGTAAAAACAAACTCTAGCAGAAACAAACAAAAAGACATAAGAATTGAATAGGTGACTAAAACATAGGACACAGATTATGTTTTTAAGTAGGGCATGGAGCCCAACATGGGGCCAGAACTCACAACCCTGAGATCAAGACCTGAGCAGAGGTCAAGAGTCAGATGCCCAATCGACTGAGCCACCCAGGTGCCCCCACAAGTTATGCTTTTTAAATAGAGAGATGAAGGGGCGCCTGGGTGGCGCAGTCGGTTAAGCGTCCGACTTCAGCCAGGTCAC